GCAGAATGTCTCTGGAGTTTAACCAGTTTTCTAAGGGTTAAACAGTTCTTAAAGTCTTCTCTGCTGTGGAAACGGCTGGCTGGCTCACATTTATTTCTTAAGGAGAGAATTTTACTGAAGTCTTGTGTGACTAGCATCCATCCGTCTATAAATCATAATTTATTGATTTCCTTATCAGTAAAGAATGGAATCTTTGCTGAGTCATATAAAGCTTATGGTTACAGAGAACGTCTTAGTGATATGCTAGATAGAGTAGTAGCTCAGTAAATGCTTAATGAGATGAGATTGGTTGAATTGATCCCATCTGTTTTATGTGGAGGGATCTGGACACATTTTTGAGGTAAGTTTTATTTCTTAAGATAGTTATATGTTACCTATATTTTAATAAGCTGTGCTGAAAACTGCTGTTGCCATAGTTCACATTTATGTATAAATGCACATATTATTATTTCTGTGACTAAGTATGCTTACTTGAGTCCTGAAGTGGTGCTCTAGGATAAACACTGGTTTGCTAACCACAAGGTTGGCAATTCAGACACACCAGCTGTTGTTCGGAAACCCTTTGCAGGGTTGCTGAGTCAGAACCGACTTGACAGCACTTAACAAAAACAACAAGAAGCATAGCTACTTTTTTTTTTTTTTTTTTAAGTTCTTACTATCAGTTTTGAAACCTTTACTTCACATGAAATCTTACCATCCAGCATATAAAAGATGAGGTATTTTGGTTTGAAAAACTGGTTGAAGTAGTGTTTTAGGGCTAGGACTTGTCTTGGTTGAAGTAGAGTTTCAGGGCTAGGACTTGTCTCTCTTGGTCATCTCCTAACCTACTCTAGTGTCCCTTAAGCCATCTCTGATACTGTAGATGGGAAGAAACGAAATTTTAGAATACCAAGTCCAAACATGACTCACTGCTGTTAAGTTGATTCTAACTCACAGTGACCACAGAGCAGAACTGTCACATAAGGTTTCCAAGGCTGTAAATCTTCATGGACGTGCACCATGTTCTTCTCCCATAGTACAGCATCTTGTGGGTTCAAACCACTGACCTTTTGGTTAGCAGCTGATTGCTCTAGTCATTGTGCCACTAGCACTCCTTAGCTTTAGAGTGGATAAGTGAAATTATCCAGGTCACTTAGCAGAGATAGGCTTAATAGGTCTTTGTAGCATTTCTGCTACTATGAATGGTTGCAATGTTATATGTCTCTCATTTATGACAAATTGTTTTCAAGTCCCCTGATAATTTCAATGTATTTTGTCATACAACTCTTTCATAATGATGTTATTTTAAATTAATAAAATAATTTTTGTCTTCTAGACTCATTTTATTAGTGCTGCACTCAAGTCTAGTAGTGTACCGCCTCTTAGTGTACCCCCCTCCAGAGCATTGGATAGGTATTCTGTAAAACCTGAACATCCTAATCCTGGAAGTGGTAATACATCTTCTCATAATACGTTTGCTTTCACACAAGGTAAGTGTGTAGCGCTTTATGAATAAAAAAGTCACCTATGAATTTTCTGTGTGCAGTACAAGTTAAAAAATTTTTTTGCCAACTTTAAGGAGGTTAAATATTTGTTCATAAAAGTAGTTCTCTTTTTAGGTCAAGTTATTCTTAGGTCATTTTATAACTTGTTCAGTCAAATTCTACATCATATCCTAATTTATGATCAATAGTCAGATTTTATTTCATAACATGATAAATTTAGAATATTTTAATTAGTATCAGCAATGTAATTAGCAAATGTTCAAGTTCTTTGACAAATTGCATTTTTACTATTTTTCTTGGTTTGTCAGGAGGGAAACCACCTAGGTACAATTATGAACTAATTCTAAGTATTTTTGGCAAGTAATACAAATCTGTATTAGTAGAATGTTTAAGATCTCCCTAAATAATAACAAAGTAATACGTAGTTTATTTGTATTAGGCCATTGGAATGTAAAATAAATTTGTTTCCAAATTATTGGCATTTGAAATGAGCTTAAGAAAATCAAGAATCTATTCCTTCAGTAATTCAACAATACAACATTATTCCCAATATTTGATTTCTTAGAAACTTCTAGTATTAAAGTTTCTTTATTGTTGTAAGGTGCTTTATATTTTGCAGCAAATGAGTAATCCTTACAAAACTGGAGAAGTAAATATTCAATATTAAAGTTGTAAAGGGAAGCAAATAAAGTTCAGAAAACTTATGACTTGCTTGCCTTTGGTTTTTGTAGTTGTTGTTAAGTGCTGTCAGGTAAATTCTGACCCATAGTGACCTTGTATAGGGTTTCTGAGGAGCAACTGGTGACCTTGAACCGCCGACCTTACAGTTCAAATGGCTTTGCAGTCTGGCGCATTAACCCACACCAGGACTCCTTGCCTTTGGTGACCTGGCTTAAAATTAAGTAAGAGTGCTGACACTCTTGGGCTAGAACTCAGGTCTCAGTGTGACCTAGCCACATGACTTCTGTAAAAGTGAACAATTGTTTCATACTCAAATCCGGAGAAGGTCTTTATATCTTTATGTGCTTAGTGGTGTAATTAAACTGGGGTCTCCTATTTTTAATATTTTTCTTTACTGGGTCATAATTTTTATCTTGTAGACTTTAAGGAAAAAGAATATATAATGAATTTGTTTCCTTTAATGTTTTAGTTATAGTAACAGAAATTTTAAAAAGTGAGTTAATTCAAAGTTCAAACATTTTGATTTTTCTATGCTTTAAAATTTTTGGGTATGTATTATTTTTATATAGTTAATAATTTGCAATATGTATATAAGTTTTACTACTTTTTTATGTTTTATATTGCTGGCTTTATAATTTTAAGAAGCCCTGACAGTGTAGTGGGTTACACGTTGGACTGCTAAACCCAAGGTGGTTGTTGTTGTCAGGTGCTTTGAATCTACTGGCTGCGCCAGGGGAGAAAGATGAGACTTTTTCTGCACCTATAAAGATTTACAGCCTTAGAAATGCTATACTTGGTTCCAACTTACTGGGTTTAGCAAATAGAGTATGCTCCAAGGCACACCATCACCACCACATTTATAGTTTTATTGACTAAAATATAATCTATTGAATATTAATTTTACAATTTATTCACCATTCTTCAGGGAATTTTTATGTTTTTTCCTTTATAAATCATGCTGTAATGCATATCATCATCTGTTTATTTATTTGTTTTTCTTTTAGATTTTTTTTTTTTAGAATAAATGCCCAAGAGTAAGATTTCTTAGTCAAAGTACAAAAATTTTGGAAAGCTTTCCTATACTTATTGGCAGATGGTTTTATCAGTTTGCCTTGCCATGAGCAATATATGACTATGTCATTTCCAGTACGGTTTCAATAGCTCTGAATATTGTCATATTGTTTAATTTCATTTTGTAGTTCTAAGTGTGAAATTATTCTTATAGTCTACATTTCTTTGGATTTCTAGTGAGGGTAATTTATTTCTGTGAGTACTTGTTAATTGAAGTCCTGGTGTGGCGCTGTAGCATCAGCTCTGTACTGCAATTCATAAGGTCGGCAGTTAAAACCCACCAGCTGCTCCTTGGAAACCCGATGCAGGGTTGCTATGATTTGGAACCAGCTCAATGGCATAACAACAACAACATACTTATTAATGATTGGCAAATTTGTGTATTTTTAAAGAATAGGAAGAGTAACATTCATGTAAATTTTTTTATAAGTTAATCTATTATTTTCTTTATATTCTATTAAAGCACCTTCAAAAGAGAGTGAAGACACAGGTTTTGATAAACAGAAATCTCCTTTGGAGACACCAGCACCTCGCAGGTTTGCTCCTATACCTGTTTCAAGGGATGGCAAAATACCGAAGAGTGAAAATCCTGTGGAAGAAAAAGAAAATATGGCGCTATCAGCTCATAGAGGTAGTAGAGCAATTGTAATTAATACCCACTTTTACTAGACCTATCTCAAATGAGGAAATAGATCTCCTCGATCATCATCTGGTAGCATAGTGGTTACGAATCGGGCTGTTAACCGCAAGGTCAGCAGTTCGAAACTACCAGCTGTTCTGGCAGAGAAAGATGAGGCTTTCTGCTCCCGTAAAGATTTACAGCCTTGGAAACCCTGTACAGGGTCGTTATGAGTCAGAACCGACTCCACGGCAAATAACAACAACAACAATTGTGGTACGGTAGAGTAAGAGCTTGACCATAAGGTCAGTTTGAACCGCAAGTTCCTTGGAAACCCTATGCAGAGTCACTGTGAATTAGAACTGATTCGACAACACTTAACAACAACAACAACAACAAACATTTGCTAGAGTAGCCCTGGTACAGCAGTGTAAGCATTGGACTGCTAACCCCAAGGTCAGTAGTTTAAAACCACTAGTTACTCCATGAGAGATCTGCTTCTGTAAAGATTTACTCAGAAACCCTCTACAGGGTCGCTGTGAGTCGGAACCATCTAGACAGCATCTAACAGCAACAACACCAATACTGTGCTAAAGTAACTAAAGTGGCATCTTTATTTTTAATCTTCTTTAAATTATGCTTTAGATCCTTTATAGTAGTAGCTGGAGGTATATTGGTGTTAAGTGCCGTCGAGTCGGTTCCAACTCACAGTGACCTTGTATAGGGTTTCTGAGGTGCAGCTGGTGGATTTGAACTGCTGACTTTGTGGTTCAAAGTCCAATGCTGATCCTGCAGTGCCACACCAAGTGTCCAGCTGGAACTAACTCGACACGTAACAACAACAACAAGCAGGAATGAAAAGATTAAAATGTTTAATAAACAAACTCACCTCACACACACAAAATTATTACCTATTCTCAGTAAAGATGGGAACATGTGATAACTCTGTAGGATAAGTACTGATCTGTTAACTACAAAGTCAGCACGTGGAGCCCACCAGCCACTCCATGGGAGAAAGCTGAGACTTTTTCATCACAAAAAAGATTCATAGTCTTAAAAACTATACTGGGTTGCTGTGAGTTAATACTGACTTGACAGCACTTAACAACATTATTAAAGGTAAGATCCAGTTAGTAGTTGCTGTGAAAAAAACAGATAAATCTCCTTTTTATGATTTACTAAAATAACACACTTTGTTGGAATTTGCCAAGAAGATAGTTCTCATTTAGATTTATCTTTTTGGTGATTGAAATAAATTCAGGCCTAAATTTTGAAGTATGATATCCATGAGCGTTAAAAATGTTTTAATTGATGAATATCTTGATAGCCTATGTTTTTAGAGTGTGTTGATTATATACACATTATAAGTAACCCAGGCCAGAGTGAGGCATAGTTCCACTTTGACTTGGGGGGCTATCATGAATTTAAATTGAGTCATTGAGATCTGGTTCAGTCATAAATGTACTCATATTTGAGATTATAAGAGAAAAATAATACTTGAAAAATGATGCTACATTTCTTCTACTGTAGGAAATGTAGGACTACTGGAACAAATTTTGAATAGCCATGATACTCTGACAAGAAAAAGTGACTCTTCAGATAAAGCCTCGCTAATGGTGCCAAATGTAGGATGGAATCCTGAGAGGAGAGACAGGTAAAACCAAGAAAGCGGAAAGAAACTAGAAAATGTTTAGTAACTTTACTAATTTATAACATTGTTTTTTTCAAATATAGTAGTTTTAGTTACTGTTACCTCTTGCTATATCTTCTACTTTTTGTGTATTTATGTAATCAACGTATTTCATTATCTCAAAATACAAATTAGTAATTTCTAGTGAAATTATATTTGAATTTTGCTTTAAAGATAATCCACTGCAGAATAGGGAGGAGGAGGATAAGGGGAATTGATGAAATGAAGTTGGTTGCCATGTCAATTATTATTTTAGTTAAAAAAATGGAGTACCTGGAGGTTTATCATACTATTCTACTTCTGTGTAAAGTAACTCTGGTAGCGTAGTGGTTACGAGTTGGGCTGCTAACCCCAAGGTCAGCAGTTCAAAACTACCAGCTGTACTGCAGGAGCACTATGAGGCTTTCTGCTCCCGTGAAGATTTACAGCCTCAGAAACCCTATGCAGGGTCTCTATGAGTTGGAACTGACTCCACGGCACATAACCACCATCACCACCACATTTGTGTGTGGTTGAAATTTTACAGAATACTAAATTAAAAAAATTAAATCCCTCTGCCAGTATCTTGAGTATCATAAATATTACTATAAAAATTAAAAGAGTACCTTTTGCAGCAAGTTCCTGTGAAAATATTACATAATTTTAATCTATTTAAATTTACTGTAATTACTGTTAATATAGATTTTTGTCTGCCATGTTACTCTATGTTTTCTATGTCTCGTATTTCTTATATTCAGTATTCCACCACTGTTGCCCTTTTTTTGGTATCATATAGATATTTTCTAGTGTAATATTTGAATTTTTTTGTTGCTTCTTTTAGTATGTTTTATTTGTGTTATTGTTTCTTTTCCTTGAGATGTTTTCTTAGTGGTTGCCTAGGGATTATCTTAATTTAATACAGTCTAGTTTAGATAAACACCAATTTAATTCCAATATTATTCAGAAACTTTACTTCAATGTGCCTTTGCTCTCCTTTTCTTTATGCTTTGATTGCCATAGAAATTATATCCTTATACAAAATAAGCTCATCTATATGGCTTTATATATAATTATTGCTTTATGTAGTTTTAAAAAATTAGATAGGAAAAGAAACTAATTGTAACCAAAATTACATTTATACCTCTTTTATGTTTCTTTATCTCCTTACCTTTACCAGTATTCTTTATTCTTTTTTTAAAATTTTTTATTGAGGGTAGGTCTACTAGCAATAAATTCTATGTTTTTATTTACTTGGGAATGTCTTAATTTCTCCTTAATTTATTTATTTTTTTGTCTGACCTCCCCCAAACCCTGTGTGCAGCTCTTTGAGTGTGTTATCCCACTGCTTTCAGTACGCCATGGTTTTTGGTGAGAAGTCAGCTGTTAGTCTTAAGAGGCTCCTCTGTGTGTGATGAGGCATATTTCTCCTGCTGCTTTTAAGATGCTCCCTTTGTCTTAGACTTTTTTTTTTTAAGTTTTATTGTGAATTATGTGATAGTTTACATGGGAGAACATTAGTTTTACATTTATCCTATTGTATATAATTTTATTTCCATGGTTACAATCCCCTCCATGCATCATCAACCAACCAAAGGGTATATCCTACAAACCTGCCCCTCCCCCCACCCCCACCCCCTTTCCTCCAGGTCGTCAGCTCGTCAGCACACAGCCCCTCTCCCTCTCTGGGTCTAAAGTGCCCAGCTGCTCCATCTCTCCATGTCTTCGTCTCTGCCTCCATCTTAGGCATCACTGCTTCCTGGGGAGGGTCCCGCTCTCTGTTCTTCTTCCTTTATGGTCCCTGGGACCTCTGCTCCTAGAATGCACAGTTAATCACTCCCCTCCTTGCTACAAAAC